AGAAATCTTGATCCCACTGACAGAAAATCTAATTCATGAAATAAATTTTAGATGAATAATTTTTCACTTGGATCCTAATTTTTGAATGTCTACAGAAAGCTGAAAAAAAAAAAAAAATCAATGTCAGTTCCTTTTGACTCATGATATTTCTGGAGTAGGTACAGGTGGGTTCATACCCTAATACCCTAAGTAATCAAAGTAATGGTCACTTTACAGCCCTTTACAAAACAGTAACATCACCCCCTTTTTTTCTTAGAAGACATTTCACTTTCCCCAATTCTACGGCATCAATGCAGGTGTGACATGTCAGAACATAAATTATTCCAACCTAATAGGATAATTGATTTGTACAGCTTTCTTAGGTGAGCAAACATGACCTATAGCTACGATGTTCGAGGCGTTGCTTGCTGGTTATAAAGCTATTCTTCAGGTGGAAGCAAACGCGGCTAAAGAAAGCGCATACCTTTTTACTCATTAAGGCAATTCAAAGTCATAAAGCCCTTTCTAGTCAGATACAAATTCAGATGTGAATGATTGGGGACATTTGTATGGGAAAATAGGCTTCGAAATGTAGAGAAAGGCCCTCTAAAAGAATTTCAGGCTCTTTCTTTCCCACCTGTGCAAAGCGACATTAATGGTGATTTTTTATGCCAACAATTGTGAGGAATGTTGCAGACTAAAATCGTGTAATTTATTTGTTTCTTGTTAGTTTGTGAGGGGCTGACAAATTGACGGAAATATCTTTGATATTCTCATTGCCTTGTAAATATGAAAGAAATGCTAAAGCTTCGAACTAATGATCATGAATAATTATCATCGAACTAAGCTTAAAATAGTTTTCAGTTTGTAGTGAAAATACTATTCATTTAATATTCAAGTTTTGAACTAAACAGTTTATCAATCTGCGAATTTCATCTGCTTGAGAAATGCCGAAATAAGAAATATACAGTGCATAATTAGTAATAAAAGGATCATTAAGTTTTAATATACTGATTTTTTTTTTCTGTAGAAGCTGATAAAATTCAGTTCGGTTCTTTGAAAGCGGTTTAATTACTCAACATTCAGTACAAACAGTAATAAATTAATGATTTTCTGCTTTTCGTTGTTGTTCTATAAAGTTTTATATTTTTTTGCCTTCCGGTACTCTTAAAGCCAACTCATCGATTATATTTTGCTGAAAAATTGTGCGAAATAGCTTTTATTTATTTTAATAATTTTAATCTAATGACTCGTCATTTTAAAATGAAAGATTTGCCCTTTAACTGCTATACTTAATAATTAAGTGTTTTTCACTTTGTTACCTTCAATCATATATCTGTTTCCGCCTTCTTAAAAATAATCGTGCTTATCATCATTTTTTTGGCTAAAAATTATTTATGTTGTGAATTTATAATAATATATTTTTAAAAGAATGAGATTCATGCGGTGGTCTTATGAGAACAATATTTTTATCAAAAATTTACTGTGGAAGTGCCTGCTTTGGTCTTTTGTTTCTCATATTGCACGCATGAAATTGAAAACCGAAGGTGATTGTTCTGTAAACTAATTTTAGTTAAATAACTTACTATAGTTCTAATATATATTAAATATGAGTTGTATATAAATAATAATGAAACAGTTATAACATGTTTAAATATGTAATCCGTATTTTTCTTAACCAGCTTGTATGCTACTTCAAATTTTTAAAGACCCTGTTAATATAAAAACCAATTATATTGAATTCTAATTAAAAATGATTAACTTTTTCTCTTATATTTCGACATAACATATCATAAGATAGCAAAGAAAGCGTTTCATGTCATATGCATTCATCATAGCTCTTCGATCCTTTGCTTTTGTATTTTCATTCTCTGGACACTTCCCGAATGTAACCCGTTATTTTTGATAGCCACATCCGACGGAGCTCTCTGACACATTCAAAGCCCTCTTTTACAAAGGCTTCCAAAATCGAGAGGATGAATTTTGATCTGCCAAATACCGACCCTTCCACATCCAGAGCCACCAGCCCTGTGGGTACGAAACCAGTATTAAAGTCATTTCACTGTTATTAGTGTCGTTTTAGAAACGGGACCTCTTAATACTTACGCTATGCAAATAGGTCTTGTCTCCCCCCGTGCAGTGTGCCTTCCCCCACACAGTGTGCATCATTGAAGTATAAAATCCTCATCTGCCAGCATCAGAGATTTCCACCCATGGCTAAGTGGAAAGCTTATTAAATTGCAGTACCGGCAACACAGGCCAAACCCTACAGTGGCAGTAAAGCCAGGCCGTAATTTTAACTTTGTTTCCTTTCTGGCGTCGTTTCATTAACAAGGCACATACGGGGGACAGGCACACAATCCTCGAGCAGCAGCCAGTCCCCCCACCTGCAGAGTGGAAATGGAATAAAATTGAATTATGATTTCCTCTCGCCCGTTTGCCAGAGTCAAGATTTCACCAAAGCGGGTGTTGTGTCCCCAGAGCATTTTGCCAAGAAAATATGCCAACCAGTCAGCCAGAACATCAAATGCTGCTGCTGCTTGTTTGTTGTTTGTCACGTATATCCAGCTTAGCGATCGCACGAGTCTGTGATATCCAATTAAATTCCATATCTTCATTAAGTTGTTTGTAATGTTTCTCTCCTTGGTTGATAGGTTTAGCACCTTTTCCATTGAAAAGAGGATCCTCACCATCAAAAGGACTCAAGTCAGGTGTAGGTAATGGATAATTTTGACGCGGGAGGACTAATATTTTCCGGGGTGTCGCTGTATCAACCTTTGCTTTGAAGGTGGGAAATGAATTTGGAGGAGAAAGGAGAAGACTTAGCTCCCGTTTCCATTATGCCTTAGCTCTCTTCCCTCTCTCTCAAAGACGTGTTTGACTAACAGGTGGTTAATTGGTGATCACGTTACGAGTATTCATTGCTTTTAAAAGACACCGAATTTTAAGGATTTTGGGACAAACCAAAGTTTCTCTCTTTTAATTGACTCCCCAAAGATAAGCAAGTTTTCATTTCATGTCTTCATTTGCTGCTTCATATTAAGAGATATGATTGCAATGCGAGCCGGTGTCTATGTTTAGTAACTTGTCCCCTAACCATATTTGATATAACGATCGATAGATGGAATCTTTTCTGTTCTACTGATAACTTTACATGAAACAATCACTCATTATAGCACCCATGTTGAAAATATTTAATCGATGTTTTTAGAAAAAAGAACTTTATAGTAATAATAAGTTATAGAAGAATTTCGAAATCTTGCACGAAACATAGTTTGAAAAATTATACTTAGTAGGGGAGTAATTTTCAGCCAATGGAGCGAGAGTTCCGAAGCAGGGGGCTAGGCTAAGATATCTGGAGGAAAAACAGGGGGGCGACATGAAGATAAGAAAATGAAGATGCATAGCAAGCAATAACTTATTATTCATTCCAAAATAAGAAACAATAATTTCTATTAATTAAAAAATGCTATTCTTAAAAATCGATAAACGAATGCAAGTAACATAAAATAATGTTTCTTTTATATTATGTTAATAAAATTTCCAAAAAAATTAGAAAGAGATGAAATTAAAAAATACAGGGCAAATCGAGATCTTAACTCCAAAAGAGATAAACAACGTCTAAAAGAATTCGGAAACTTTTCTGCAAAAACAAAACGCAGTCGGCAGGATTCGAAACTGCGCAGGGAAACCCCCATGGATTTGAAATCCATGGGGGCTCTTTCTATCGGAGGTGACGCTCCCATCCCTTTCCAGTTCTATAAATAGAACTGTGACCTTAAGGAACCGCGAGCAACGCTGTTCTTTCGTCCCGATGTGTTTGGAAACATTTTTAAAAATTAATCAAAATTAAGTAGAACGTCGCATGGAAATAAAATTGGTGTCATTAAAAAGCTAATTTTTTAAACTTTAAGATGGTGTTAAAATAGTTTTCGTGCGAAAATATGCTCTGAAGTTATTGCGGAAAAACATTAAAGTTTAATGGAATAAATTAAAAAAATTTTTAAATAATAATTTAATTAATTAAAATAGGTAAATTTTAATTAATTAAAATTTTGAAAAATCCTTTCTTAGTGAACACCTACCACCCAAAAAGCAACCTCCTGCCAAATTTAAAGTTTCTAGGCCTCATGGTTTTAGAGATTTCGTGATGAGTGAGTCATGTATTTGCTTTTATATATATACTAGAAAATCACCCGTCATGATATGACGGGTGCAAATTGCCTCTTCATTCGAGAGATTTCCCGTCAAATCTGACGTGTTTAAATAGATATATATGCGAGATAAATGTTTAACATTTATTGAAAACAAATAAAATAAACATATGTTTTATGACAGGAAATATTTTTTTAATTACACATTATTTACATATTTCTTTATTCAAAAAACCTCTTGATAAACAACATTCAGTGTGAAGTATTTTTCGTTGTTTAACAATTTTTTTTGTACTTCAAATGTCTTTGTGTAAATTTTAAATTTGCCAAAAAATATTATCAAATTATATCACGATTGCACTAAATAATTAGATGCATCGTGGCGTCCAAACTATATCACGCGCATGATATACCACTAACGTAATTTACTACTTTCTATTAAAAAACGGAAATTAATTTGAAATATATGATTAATATAATTTAAAATTTCTCGGGAACTATTGATCATAGCGAGATAAATTTTATATCAATGGATAGCAAATTTTATTTCACTATTTTAGAGCTATTGAATTTCAAATTAGAACGACAATTACTTTTTTAAATTTTAAATTTCTGAAATTTAGGTTCTCTAACAATGAAATAATGCTGTTTAACGTGTCGCAGTGCTATGGCGCGAGTTTTATTGTTGGTGACGTCAGAGATCTGGGCTATTATATTAGTAATATAGATAAAATAGAATGTTAATTATTCAAAAGTAAGCAGACACTTTCTGAAAATTCTTGTGTAATATTTTCTATGAACGTAGAGAAATTCACTAAAGACCCGTCAAAATTACAAAAAAATTCTTAACCCTTTCTGAAAAATAAATAAATCTGATAGGATTCGAACCTGCGCATGATAACCCCCATGGATTTGAAATCCATGGCCTTGACCACTTGACCACAGCTGCTACGGCTAAGTTAGTGTACTATATTAAGTAAACAAATAGCAATTTTTTTTCAATATTTCGACAGATAAAATGTTAATTATTCTAAAATAAGGATACACTTTCTAGAAATTCCTATGTAATAGTCTGAAATTTATGAACATGGAGATATTCACTAAGGACGCATCGAAATTATAACGAAAAAAAGGCAGGAATACATCCCCAAAAATATTAATTCACCATGGGAATTAATCTCAAAATTTAAATTTTTAAAATAAGCCAGTCGAAAGAGAATAGAAGAAAATGGAAATAGAATGAAAGGCAAGAAAAATATCATAATTTGAAAATTTTTAGATCCTCAAAACGGCTCTAACTGACTATATTAGCTTTATTTTAATAAAAAATTTATCACTTTTTAAAAATCTTCGATGTTAATTGCACGTTTATTTTGAAGTTTCCTTTCACAGTTGTATTCAAAGTACTGTGTTCTACTATTGATTTAAGAAAATGATTTACTAAATAATTAAAATTATTATTTTTAAAATTATTAAAAATTGTTTAGTTATAATAATTATCACTTTATTTATTACAACTCATTATTGTATGTTTATTAATTGTGTGTTATTTATTAAAACTGTGAAAATAAATATTCTCAGCCATTTTTGGCTTAGAAATTGCTGTTTGCTCTAGATATAATAATTTTTAATCTACTTTCTCATAATTCGAATTTTTCGATAAACCGAACTTTTAGTGTGGTCCTATTGACTCCCAATTAGTCATGTTTCAGTATTATAGTAATTTAATAATTAAGTTATATAATTTCTTTTTAGTTAGATAATCATGTTTAATTACATTTCTTAAAATTAAGTTATAAAAATATAATTTACTGCGCTGTTTATTTTATTACATTCGATTTTTCCGAACATCTGTCAGGATCGCAGTGGCCTGATTAGAGACCTGGGTTTAGGGGATACAAGATCGCGGATTCGAGATCCACCAAAGACTTGCAGTGTACGAAACTTGGTTCACGCTATCCATTGTTGGCTAATGTACTCTCGGTGGTGTGGTATGGAAGTTTGAAGCTAGGCAGCCCGGCTTAGGTGTCATCCTTGTCATCTAACCACCATTCTAAGTTACATCTGTTCATTAACAACATTCATGTAGCTTCAAAACGGGAAACTATTCTAACTAAGCTAAATTAGCCCATGCATCTGTCGATTGGATTTTGACTAACTTATTGAGATTAAAGTTAGTTACTAAATAAACAATTCGAGAATTTAAATTAAAATAAGCAAACGGAACGATCTGTATTATAAAAAATCATGAGCATCAATTTACTATCCATCACATCCAATATCCTGGTCAAGTACTTGCTTTCGAAGACTATTTCTGAATCTCCTTAATGTTCAGCAAACAACAAAAGTCTGCCAGTCTTTTATTTTGCTCCAACAGGCAACATTACTTATCCTCCCATATGGTCATTATTTGCAAGGGAAAGATATTTTGTGAAAGAGCAAATGCCGATACATCCAGAAGTACTTCATACATGCGAGTAATGGACTTGCACCAGAAAAAAGTTGTTCTACTAATGTCAGAAATGTTAGCTGTTCAGCTTTTGTCATTAGTGTTAGTGAATAAAGCAGATCTGACACCTTCTTCGAGAGTTTTATCTGCTAACTTCTAGCAGACATCATAATATGGGAATTTGCTTAGAAAGAAGGCGGCAACGTTCTCAATGTGGGGTTTTCTTAATCAGTATCAGTGTAGATAGTTACATGGAGAAAATATATCTTTAAGAGAAATAAATGACATGACATATAATGTCTGTTGTAACTGTAATATAAATATAAATAGCTATAAACCCGGCGTTGCTCGGGATCCATATTTTTTCATATACCGGCCTCCTGTTTTTTTCTTCTTTTTTTCCCCCTATAAATATTGTCACTATCTTTCTCCAACAAACTTAAATCTTCTTTGAATCCTTTCTTGTTGAATAAATCTTTCAGATATATCCTTTTTATCACCTTATAACAGTATGGTTTGAATGAAAATGTGAGAAAATTCGAAAAAGATTGTTTATTTTATACTAAGCTAACGTCATTGGATGGTTCAGTACATGTTAAAAGCTACGAAATAAAAAAGGAAGTTAAGTGCGTGCTACAAAATAACAGCGGAAGTAAGAAGTCTACCTTGACAAAAAAAGCAATATCTTCTTAGCTTTAACAGTGGTCAAAACACGTGAATAAAGGATTCGATGAAACAATACATTTGATTTTGTAACAATAAAAGCATTGTTAGAATTTGAGTTTAAAAAAATTTTGAAACCTTAATTACAGTTAGAGAAAAAAATTGTACAGCAATTAAATTGGTATCATTAAAAAGATAATTTTTTTGCTCTTAAAAATAATTTTCTCACCATAAGTACTTCAGAAGTTATTAGCGAAAAATGTCTAAAAATAGCTTAATTTTCGTTATTTAATTAAATGTCTTAAGAGCTAATTAGTTCTGAAAGCTGAAAATAGCACAGTTGACCTAGAAATGTGTTCTAGAATGCCGTGTGCAAATTTCATGGCTCTACCGTTCACCGTTTAGGAGGAGTTCTTGTAACCGATAGACACATGTATTTTCTGTTTTATATTATAGATAATGGAATATTATTGTTAGGTATTGTGGAAGTCTACTTACAACAATATTATTTTTGCTTGATTTACTTTGACAACTTAACCATTTCAGAACAATAAAGTAAATCATGAAGATTTCAGGTTGAATTTTTCTGAATGAATTTTGAAATTAAATATTAAATATTTAACTAAAAATATTATTAGAATATTTATCTATTTTTATAATACAAAATATTTTATTAAAATATTTAAATAATGGCATAACGTATAATTTTAATAACCAAGAAAATGGAACAAGATTTCAATCGAATTTTCATGGAGGAATAGTTAAAATATTTATTATATATTTAACTGAAAATACCACTAAAATATTTACTATATTTCATTAAATAAAAAATTTATTCAAATATTTAAATAACAGCAAATTTTTTAGATGTGTAATTTTAATAGTCTTGAGTGCATTGTGTTTCTAATCGAAAAAAAGTATGGTTTCATTTATGAAACACAAGAAAAATGAGTTTAAAACATTTTAGAAACTAAATACTTATTGATTTTTAAGGGGTTACATTTTATAAAAACACAGTATTTGTGTATATGTTTTTTGAATTTGGATGGCCATCGACTGTATAAATAAACCATGCATTGTTTTCTTTTTAAAAAAAGAAATGTTCTCAATTATTTAAAATTAATTTTTAAAAATGATTTTTTTTTATTTTGATCTCCCTCCTTTATATAGAATGACGAGCCAATCCTTAGAAGCAAAAAAAATGCGCAGTGTACTATTAACACATAATATTTGCGCGTTTCAACACATATTGTATTTACGCAGCGGAATTCCCTTCTATTTCACCAAACGAGCACTTTTAACCCCCGATAGTGTGTTTCTCCCAACATCTGCTTGCCTGGAGGTAAAGATTGTTTGCAAAGAGCAGTCTCGCCATTTCCTGTTTAATCCTGTACGCATTTATTCGCCCGAGAGCGATACGGTGACGTACAGGTATTGCATATTCGCTCTGAAATCTACGAAGCAACTTTTAACTTCGAAGGGGAAATATTAAAGCAACTTTTCCGAGACTTTAGCAGAGACGGATCCACCATTAAATCTGAAATTACATATTTTGGATTGCAAGTACAGCTTCACGTCTATCGATTCATTACGTAGAGCTAATCGATTTTGTGAAAAATAATGAAAAATTATCGATTGTTTCGATCGTTATAGAAGTGGTGGTCATTTTTAGAAACTGACCGCCGATGTTATTGGTTTTACGGTAATTAATGGATGGAAGGCCTGGTTAACCTACGACTTCTGTTTTTAAAGTGATCTAAATTTGACTGGGAGAGTGAAGCATCCGTTGGAACTGAAAGGATATTTTGAATTTTAAACTGACAAACACTAACATTTGATATGAATTTTAATTAGAACTTTTTAAATCCATGACCAAATTTTTAAAAATTTCTAAAAATTTATTAAAAAATTTAGAATCTTAAAAGTGTTTTGGCAAGGAGCTGATGTATTATACAAATTTACTGTACTGTTATTTTATTGCTTTAGTGAAGGTGACGTCAAGCCATATATATGATTCGCTTCTCTTTCTGCTATTCTTACAAAAGCTTCTTTTTATTGCATTAATATAGTTGCTAAATTAGTTCATCAATTATGCATAATTGATACAATTTTCATATGTTAATGTTTGTATAGAAGTCTCAAATTATAGTATTTTTGTAAAAATTATGCCTTCTCATCAAATACGCAAATACATATTGTTAGGCAACATGCACATACATGAGAAAGGATCCTATATATATTAGGATTATTATCCGATATATATTAGGATTATTATCCTATATCTATTCGGATTATCCTATATATATTAGGGTTTACAATTCAATTTCGAAATCACTTTCTATTAAGTACCTGTAAATGTCATGCAGCCTTCAAGCAAAAGTCAATTGAGAGAGCACAGGTTACGAGAGAATTTAATTTTATACATGATTCAAATTCTTACAGCTTTTGAATTTAGTTTATAATTTTATATTATTTACATTTATTTATTCTAGCCTATACTTTTCTTGACTCGATTGTGAGAATATATTTTGCAAGTTTTTTTAACTTAAAAAGACAAACTTTAAACTGCGTGCTAGTTGGCTGCGAAACTTATATTTATAGTATATTTGTTTTCTTTTTGTACCTTTCACAATGACTGGGAAGAATATCTTAATAATATTTTATTTTTCCGAAATTTCTTTTGATTTTTACTATTCTTAAGAATAGTAAAAATCAAACACCGTCGAACAATCCAACTTTTCCTATTTTTCATAGCCTTAAAAAAGGGGGATTGAAATAAAAACCTTTTGTAAGTTAAAAATTCAAGTTACAGGGGACACATATTTTTGATAAATATT